GGCATTCTGATTAATGTTGCATTTATGAAATGTATATTAAGCAGCAAAATCCACCTGGATTGGGCCATGACAGGGGACGGCCATTTTGCCACTTTCTGTTTAACTGAAAATGACATCGGGTACACCTTGAACCGGTTGTCAGCCAATTATTAAGAGGCCATGGGCGGGTCGGATGGTCCTCGGGTTGTACTTGGCCAAGTGCTGGGCTACAGGAAATGGCTTCCTCTTTAAGCAAATCTTCAACAGGTACCACATGCCTGGCACTCTTAAGTGGCTTGCCAAAAGGTCAAAGAGTCAAATATATGCATGTAGTATACTTTTTAAAAAAATTAATTGGAATCATTTTATCATGAATATAAAGAAATATTCACTATGTCAACAATCTTTACTCCGACTGGGTCTCTCTTCTCCTTAATATAATATGTAAACAGCTTTCCTTTGATTGGTTAGTTCATGAGCCGAAATGACTTACACATGACGATGATATGCGGGCGTCTCGTGGCTGACATGTCTATTCATTGCGCTGGCTCCACTGAAATTTTGTAAACCGTTGGCACAATTTTACCAAGCAAAAATGCCCCCTCGGGCGGCCATGGTAAGGTGACAGCCCTGTCTCCCTGCAAGAATTTTTTCCCATCTCCGTGTCGCGCAGTTTCACGGCTGCACAGCAGGCTAACTGATGGGTACTGAGCAGTCCCCACAAATGAGTGGGTCTCGATGTATATGTATATTAACCCTTTCATGCACCCTGCAACCTGATAAGATGATCAGCTGTCCACTGTAGTAACCGCTGTCCCTAAAAGGGTTGAATATAGAGCAGTGGTTCTTAACCTGGGTTCGATCGAACTCTAGGGGTTCGGTGAATCGGTCTCAGGGGTTCAACGGAGCCTCTGCCATGGAGGTTAAGACACACCCTGATTCAACATGTCAATTAGTTATGACATGCAGATGATCACATTACATTGCTTGTCCAATCAGTGCTGCGGGAAATTTAGTTCCTTTTTTCGCACAGTTAAAAAAAAAATTATTTACTTTTTTCTGTTTTTAATAAATGTGTTTTTTATGTCTTGAATTTGTAAAAAAATTTATTTTTATTTTTCACTAATGGTTCGGTGAATGTGCATTTGAACTGGTTGGGTTCAGTACCTCCAACAAGGTTAAGAACCACTGGTATAGAGGGACCAATCAATGTCCATGCGAATTTGTAGACTCAGAAAGCAAGTGCATGCATGTCACACTTAAAAAAGGTCACAGAGTCATTTTGAATTGCGAAAAACAGTATGGAAAAAAAAATGCATTATGTCAGGGCATCTTTCAAAATGTCTCAAACAAACTTTTTATCGTATAAAACACTGAACACGTGTTTGTACATGAGCAATGCACCAAACACAATAAATACACAAATGATTAGAAAACACTCAGTTGCCATCTCTGACTGTCAATTGGTTGGTTATTAATCATAAACGTTTGGTGGTGTCAGATCTTGAATTTCTCTTGCGAGTCTGACCAAACTTAGATAAGCAAAAATTGCGTTCATGGTACACATACAAATAAAGTTATGATGCCCCAAATTATCATAATGCCAGTGCCGATACAATTTGTGGTGCAAAACCATGTTCACATTTTGCACTGAGCTCCAGTCTCGGCAAATATGTTATACTAGCTATATTGTTGATTTATAGAAGTGTATTTGTATGTGGGTATGCGTGTACTGCGTGCGTGCGTGCGTGCGTGTAATGAGTCTGGAGTGCAGTTTGAGCTGAGGTGTGTCACTGGGGAGGATGAGTGATTACAATGGACAGTAATCCTGCCGATGGATTAGCAGGTGGTATTAGGAGAAGTGGGGGTGTAGCACACTGTCACCTCTGAACTGTCACAATATGGAGCAACAGCTTGCCGGCCCTCACCTCCGTCTGCTTTAGTCCCTACAACTACTTGCACACCTGAAACGACTGAATACTCAGACAATCGACAATTATGGGCGCCGTTTAGTTGAGGATGAGAAATATGGTCCCAAAATGTGTAATTAAAAACAGAGTCCAATGATTTGGAAATCCTTTCCAAGTTATATTCGATTGAATACTCAACAAAGATAAGATATTTAATGTTCAAACTGATTAAAGTGTCATTAAAAACAAATAACTGGGACGGGGCACCAAAAGACTGAGAAAGTTGACAAATGCTCAAAAACCACCTGTTTGGAACATTCCACAGCTGATTAAGTGGAAACAGGTGAGTGACATGATTGGCTATAAAAGGAGTGTGTCACCCCCCCGCAGCCCCCAAGGTCAGCTGTTCAGAAGGAAAGATGGGGTGAGGTTCACCACTTTGAGAACAAGGGTATGAGCAAATAGTCCAGCAGTTTAAAAACAATGTTTCTCAACATATATTTGGAGGAATTTAGGGATGTCATCATCTCCGATCCATATACAGTATATCGTCAAAATGTTTGAAGAATCTGGAAAAATCTCTGCACGCAAACAGCCAGGCCAGAAACCAGTTTTATATGCCACTGACCTTAGATCACGATACTGCATTAAAAAAAAAAGACATAATTGTATTAGGAATATTGCCATGTGTGCTCAGGAGCATTTCAGAAAACAATTGTTAGTTACCAATCCAAGTTAAAACTCTACCATGCAAAGTAAAAAAATCATATATCACCAAGAAACACTCCTGGTTTATGTGGGCCTGAGATTTTCTCAGTTGGGCTGACCTAAAATGGAAAAAAAAAAAAGATTACTGTGGTCAGACAAATCCTCGTTTCAATATGTTTTAGGAGCTGATGGATGTCTTGTCTCCGGATTGTTGAAGTTCAAAAGCCAGCATATGTGATATATTTTAGTGCCCATCGGATGAGCAACTTGCACATATATGAAGGTACTATTAATGCTGAAAGGTCCATCCAGATTTTGGAAGGACATATGCTGCCATCCAAACAACGTCTATTTGAAGGACGTCCCCGCTTGTTTCAGCAAGACAATGGCAAATCACATTGTGATCTAGACTGACCTGCCAGCAGTCCTGACCTGTCTCCCATTGAACAAGTATGGCGCATTATGAAGTGTAAAGTACAACAAGGGAGATCTCGGTCTGTTGAGCAACTGAAGTTGGACATGAAGTAAGAGTGGGAAAGAATTCCTCCATGCAAAATGTCAACAACTTCATTCAGTACAGTATATGGCTTCACATACTCTGAATGCCACTTATCATATTCTACAGTCCCTGCTTCATAACTGCGATGCTTTGACGCTAACGTCAGTCTTCCCTCAAAATAAAACGTGTTTCCTCATTGTGGTCGGAGTACTTAGCCTGAGATTTTATTTGTAAATTATATATATATAAACGAAAAATGAAACAATCATTTTGCACTGTATTTTGTGTTTCTGGGACATGAAAAAAAAAGTCACTGTCACAGACAATTGGCTTGAATGGATTTCCCCCTCCCCTTTTCGTCCATTACATTGCAAAAAATAAAAATAAAAGCGATTAATTTCCCCTTGTAATTGTATGATATGATTTATACAGAGAAGTGAATGAGTTGCAAAATTCATAAACATGTCTCATATTTCATTAGTGCTATTTTTAGAGTGAGTGACTGAAGGTGGAATTGTGTGACCCTCTGTTGATGCACCATTCTCCATGCACACACATACTTAGTTTGCCATTTAAAACGTATCAGTGGTCATGGCTGGCAAAGGGAACAAATAATTGTGCTTCATAAACTCTGAAGAGCAACAAATTATTGGGCAACATGACCAGTAAAAATAATTTGAGCAATTTAATAGAACTAGCTTGAATATAGCGTCTCCTCAACGGTTTATACATTTTCATTTCTGCTCTGATGTTCAATCATTAAAATGTTTACTGTTTTTAAAGTACTTAACCTGAAAAAGCACATCAGTAAGTGGTGTAGCAAACCCAGTATTTGTTATATCGACTGTAAATTGTTGGTGCCCAGTTAAGAAACAATTAGTCAATGCTGCATAAACTGGAAGGATTGGTGTACATGACAGAGCAAAACTTGGTCATGTTTTTGCCTAAAACAGAATAGTAATGGACAATGTTCTCGGACATTATTCCTTTCATGAAGTGATGATTCATCATATTCTATATCACAGTAGACATAGTTGGTCCGGTCATTTCTCATTGAGAGTTAAATGACTGCTTCTTCATGACAGATGAAGAGTAAAGTCTTCATTCTAAGGATTTTTTAAAAAATGATTTAAAGAGCCTTTAAAAGTATGAAGGTTAACAAGCCTTTTATTAAGATTGGAAGTTGATGAGTGAATTGTTACTGACATCTGGTGGACAGACAATGAAAGTTACCAGTTATTTTTACACAAGCTTGCAAGTGTAAAAGCAAACGCGGTACATAAAAATAGGATAGAAATTAAATTAATTCGGGTTTTAGTTTTGATGGAGTCGGTGTCTTCTGTCAATTGGTATTGGTTTGTATTTCATATCAAATTTCTGTCAGGCAAGTTCTTAACTTGAAGACACTGCATTTGGCTCGAATGAGAGTTTCGTTGGATTACAGTCGTGGACCATATGGTTTTACACACAGGTCGCTTTTAATGAAATTGGGGTGTTGTACAAATGTAAGCTCTGAGGCTTTCAAAAATATAAATACGTGCTGCATACGGTTTGCGCATCGTCATGTCCAATTCCGATCAGAAAACCGGAAGTAACAAAACAAGGGTTAAATTCATTTGTTTCCCCCCCCCCCAAATTATTTTAATTGATAGTACACGTTTTTCCAATGACAAAAAAATGAGACCTCAGAAAATTTGTTGAAAAATGGGCAAGCTACGATTTTCACGTTTTTGCATTGTCTTTGATGGGAAGGTTGTCCTTCCCAACATGGCCACCACGTAGGCACGTTGGCCTGCTGCAGCGCGCTGGTGAAGAAGAAGAAAAGAAGAAGAAAAGAAGAAGAAGAAGAAGAAGAAGAAGAAGAAGAAGAAAAAGCCGATGAAGAAGAAGAAGTTGTTGAAGAAGAAGAAGAAGAAGAAGAAGAAGAAGACGAACTGAGAGATAAAACAAATCTTTATTTTATTAAAAACAAAGTCTGTTGTTGCAATTGAGAGCACTTGTGGTGCGTAACCCGAGTAGCTATTAATATGCAGCCATGCAGTAGCTATTAATATACAGCCATGCAGGTTGTGAAGACTTCCTCGTCGTGGTGATTGCTTGTGCATCTTGTTGACGTCCGAAATCATGTTTGGAGAGTTGTATCCCTTCGCGGAGGACAGTTTTAGCCGCTTCCCATCTCAGAGTAACATTTATGGACTGTGTCAGGCCGGGGAGCAGGAGCTGCTCGCGGCTACACTCAAAGGGAAGGTGGTCAGCTTCACTTACCAGGAACTTCAGCAGAAAATAAGACCAGTGGCCAAAGAGGTTCAATTTACCTACATACCAGGTAGACCCAAAGGACCTGAGACAAAATCATTTCAACGAGATATGTTTGTATTTGTCATAAATTAAATTAAATGAACAACCTGTGCTCTGCCTTCTTAATCTGAACAAATATAGTCGAATCGACCCACCCCAAACATAAATAAAACATAACCATTAAGCTAAATCACTACACACATTGACTTGTGTTTTATTACATTAAAAACTCAGTTGCTGTATGTGTAGAATAATAGCAAATGATAATAGGTAGGGGAAAAAATCTAAAACTAGGTTAAAAAAAGACTGCACTGTTATAAAATGATGCACTTTTAATTTATTCAACCACAGTTGCAATTAATGTTTTGCAAATGTGAAAATATATATATATTTAGATCTGTCATATCAGTAATTTTTAAAGCAATGTTGCCAAGTTTTCATCTCTTCTTGTCGACCTAGTTGATGCAGAGATTGTGTCAATCGATGCGTTCAACAAGTCCTCACCCAAAAGTGGGCTTGTAGTGGGGATCACATTCATAAAGGTAAATATAGCACAGACAGCATATGCTTAATTGAGTGGAATATTTTAATCAGTGTGATCTTTTTAACAGGACTCTGGTGACAAAGCCACCCCGTTCTTGAATATCTACTGTGACTACGAGCCTGGCTCAGAGTTCAACCTAGAGTCAATTGCCCGTGAGTAAACCTGTGTCCACTTCAGATCAGTTTCCCTCTCAAGTTATGATGTTAATCTGACTGTCTGGACAGAAAGTTGCCTCAATCTGGAGTTGCAGTTCACACCCTTCCAGCTGTACCACACAGAGTAAGTTACATTATATATAGACAAGGAATATACCGATACCAGTAATGGTGTCGGTGCCAATACTGTATGTAGTGGCCTGTAAAGAAGCAAACCTCACCAACATTTGCATTCAACCTTTCTGTTATTAGAGTGCAGAGTGATGACGGAGGACGAGAAATTGTTTTTCTGCTTAGTGGTCACGACCAGAGGATACACCTGTACAAGGAGGTCTGTGTGCTTGTAGGAGGAAAACATATTTATTTCAGATTTTCAAATGAAATAGAAAGTAAAAAGAAATATAATTTGAAGATGTAACAAAACCTTTTACAGCCCAGCGAGGCATTTTTGCTGTGCCATTTTAGAGTAACTGTATTTCTTCATCATGCGTCATTCTCAACAGGACAAAATATAAAGAATAAGAAACAAATGCTTTGTGTCATCCAGCCACAGAAAATCATAATTGCATATGAAGTTGATCGCAAAACTTTTGTTTTCAACAGAATGCCTCACTCCACCAGTTTGAAGAGCAGCCAGTGGAGCGACTCTTCCCAGAGCTGCAGCAATTGCCCAGCAAGTTAGTCTCCCTCTAATTCTGTCTTTTATGTGTTCAGTCGTAGGGCTTGGAAACTGAGAGGATGATGAAAACTTTACTCCATATACATGTCAATTCCATGGAGGTCATAATTTTTTGGGGGGTGGGGCAGAGGTGGGGGGCGGTATTCCTGTCATTTCTTGTTGTGCTGTCAAATTGTACAAGAGAAAGTACAGCACATTTTTAAAATACATTGTGGTGACTGGATAAACCTCTTATGAGAACAAGGATGCATGTTTGTAAGTAACGAGTGAACTGGAATTGAGTAGTTTTCAGTTTTGTTCCTTCCATGGAAAAAAAAAGTCAAACACTGCACTGTATTTTCTTGACTGGTGTGTGTCTTGCTTCCTCGCAGTGTGTTATGGATGGACATATTGTGCATACCTGATGGCCGACGACTGTCTGCATTTGGCTGCCAGAACGGCTGCGTTGGACTGGCTCTGGTCAAACAGTGTGGGCCAGGTGAGACAACACCAAGAAATGCAATTCTTTCTAGATTAGAGCTAGTGGTTCAAGTCACAATATTTAGGATGAATACTCTTTAGAACTGGTCACGTGCGTTCATCAAACTACCACAGCGATCAAGAATTATTACAACACCCGATTTCGTCAAGCTAAACTTGAAAGTGGTGGTGAATCTTCGCCCGTGGGTTGGCACACTTCGTCGGGTTAGAGCAGTATGTAAATCGGACCCACTCAAAAGCTCGTCGGGGTCACAGTGCAGTGGTGCAGGGTTCGATTCCGACTGCGGCCTTCCTGTGTGGAGTTTGCATATTCTCCCCGTTGCGTGGGTTTTCTCCGGGTACTCCGGTTTCCTCCCACATTCCAAAAACATGCTCGTTAAGTTAATGGAACACTCTAAATTGTCCCTTGGTGAAGCCAAACAACAAAGTCCTTTACTATCTCCCTATTTCTGAAAATGTGTACGCGAGCGAGTCATTCTTCCAGGTTTTCAGTAAATATCCATCCATCCATCCATCTATTTTCTGATCCGCTTATCCTCATAAGGATGGTCCGGAGCTATCCCAGCTGTCTTTAGGCAATAGGCCTAACGCTGAACTGGTTGCTAGCCAATCACAGGGCGCATATAGACGAACAACCATCCGCACTCACACTCACACTGAGGGACTCAATCAGCCTGCCATGCATGTTTTGGAATGTGGGAGGAAACCAGAGTACCAGGAGAAAACCCACGCAGGCAGGGGGGAGAACATGCAAACTCCACACAGGAAGCCCGGAGCTGGAATCGAATCCTGCATCTCTGCACTGTGAGGTCGACGCGCTAAAATGATGATCCCGGAACAAATATACAGGACAAGCCGATGATTATTTCCTTTGTGTTAGTTTCAGAGGTACATGTTTTTTAGTAAATTCATGTTTTGTCTCTTGAACAGAGGTTTTGCAGAGCTGGCGCGTTCAGTTCGACAGTCCAATCTCCATCGTGCTGCTTTTTCCTCTCATCTGCCAAACAGAGCCGGATCTGCCCAGTGGAGAAAAAAGTATCTCATGTCACACTTTTGTTCTAAATTGTGTCTTTCTTTTGTTCTTTTCATTTTCAACGTAACTTTACTACTACTTGTTACCAAACTTACCTGACCAAAAATTTTTGAAAATCCCAGTCCTCTAGCCCCTTCTTCCATTTTATATTTTTGTTACTACTGACTATAATTGAGATATGAAAAAACTGCCATATTTTTATTTTTATTTATTTATTTTTTTTGGGGGGGTGGGGGGTAATCATCAGTTCTTTGTTCATTGACAGGCACACCTCCAGCATTTTTTTCCTGTCCCGGGACTCAAGAGGAGCATGACTGATACATACCGGGGCTGAGAAAAATATTTATAAATATATTTTCAAATTAAAATAAAATACTGGAGGGGCTTAATTGAGGCTGGACACAAATTTCTGATGGGGCTGAAGCACCCCTCAGCCCTGATCACCTATTGTCAATTGAAAATAGAAAGAATGTATGATGCACAGATTTGTCCACTACCACTAAAACCTAAATGAGCATTGAAGTAATATTAAGTGGAGAAAAAAAATGAAAGAAAAAAAAATGAAATGTTGAGTTATATTTTAATGCTGATTAAAACTAAAATCGACATCCTCATTCCAAATTATCTGTCAGTTTTTTTTTTTGGTAGCACGTCAATTTTTTACTAAACAAACAAAATTCCACCAATGAGAGGTGTGTGCAGCCCCCATTAGGTTCGCACTATCAACATCTACAAATTTAAAACTAGCATAGTCGGAATGAAGAAAATTACTGCTGGCTTTTCATTTAATATTGTAACCATGGCCATACCGTGGTAAATTGTATTTGGTTTTATGCAGTTTTTTTTTTTTTTTAAGTTTTCAAAGCCTGTAACTATCCCATCTTTGTGTTGTATTTACATACGTACACCTTTATTTTCTAACAGTTTTGGATTTGCCACCCAAAAATTTGTTAAAACAGCTGTTGCACCTAACTCAACAAAAAATGTGTTCCCCAGTATATTGAAAAGACTCAATTATTCATATTTTCAGGTTTCGGAGTTGAAGGCTACAATCTACTAGTAACTAGCACAATCGAGATGGCAGTTGTCTACAGGTGAGGAGCTCATCTCATTAATCATGTTTTGGTCATAGATTTTTTTTTTTTAAATAACTTGAGTTCATGAAGTTTATAAGAAAGGTGAAGCTACTTTTTCAGCATTTCTATGACTCTATTACACCAGAGCCCCACGCTATTTTATTTATTTATTTTTTTGTGTCCCAGAAATGTTCATGAGGGAGGCTTGTCCCACTCGCTCTGCCTCGCTGACAGCGACCAGTGGGATGCAGTGCTCTGTGCTCTGGTTATCGATCTGGATTTTGACGGGCAGAAGGAGGTGCTGCTGGGAACATATGGACAGGTCAGAAAGTCATGTGGCCAACACAAGTCTCCACCTTTGTTCTTGTTAGAAAATTTACTGTAGTACTGTACTGTAGTACCTCTACTTACGAAATTAATTGGTTCCGGAAGAAATTTCTTAACTAGAAAATTTTGTAAGTAGAGACGCGTTTTCCATGTAAATGCCCTAATCCGTTCCAAGCAACCCCAAAATTCAGACATAAATGTTTTCTAAAGCATAAAAATGGAAACAAATACCTGTTACAATTAGATTATTGCACAATAAATGAGAATTGTCAATAATGTAAAAGACAAACAATAAAGAATAAAAATGATGGTCATTTAACTTTTAACTGCATCTTCGTTTTTTTTGCCCTCTTGAGTGTTCTCTCTCAGAAGTGGTTTGTGCCTGGCGCTTTGTAAAGAACTGGTCCAAGGACATTTGCTTTTGTCGACTTTTAACAACCCTTAGAAAATGTCCAAGGCAAATATCAGCATAGTGAGCGATCGCTGAAATGGTGAACACTTTTTCTGGGTAATTCACATTTGCGTAAAACTATCGGAACGCCTCATGGCCTAAGGAGCGACGAGGATGCTGCATAGACACAGATCTATCTACACATATTGACATATTCTGTAGAGGTCCCTCTTAGCCAATGGGATGCCAGGATGATGCTCGGGAATAGCCAATGGCAGAGCAGCTATAACTATGTTGCATTCAGGAAAGTCGGCGCTGCGAGTCGCAGACCATACTGTATTTTTACCTTTCATATCTTCAAATTTCTTTCGTAACTAGAGGCAATGTTTTCCTGTTAAGACGTTTCGTAACTTGAAAATTTCGTATGAAGAGACGTTCGTAGGTAAAGGTACCACTGTACCTTGTGATTGACTGGTGATGAGTCCAGTGTGCTGGGATTGCCTCCTGCTCACCTTAAACCATTTCAGGGACAGCGGTTACTACAGTGGACACCTTATTAGGTTACAGGTTAACATTACTTGTGCAAGAAAGGGTTAATCCTAATGTGCACAAACAGTGTACAAAATGGATGGATGGATAGATGGATGATGAGAGAGGCCAAATGAAAACCTGCACAATCTGTTTTTCATCCACCTGTGTAGGAACTTCTCTGTTATAAATTCCAGCATGGGGCAGCAGGAGAAGAGGGACACTTTGAGTTGCTGTGGCGACGGAGCTTCAAGAGTCCTTTGCTGTCAATCATATACTTGGATCTGACGGGGGACGGTTTGAGAGAGCTGGCTGTCCTCACACTGAAAGGACTGTATATCTTACAGGTATGTGGCACCAAAGCGCTCAAGAGATTTATGACTGTAATAAAAGCCACAGCGATGCCGCTGTTGTGCCACCTCTGTAGACTTTCTCACTAACTCAGCAAAAAAGTGGAGAAGTGTATTGCTGACCTCAAATGAGCACCTGGAGGATAATCTCAAATACAATGGCGCCTCTAAAGTTGAGGACGACCCGTTTCAGAATGCAGTGTAATCTCCAAATTGTGTCTTTCCCATAAGAAATAATGCAGTGTCAACATCGTAACACCATGACACTGTAAAGGCATTTTTATCTCAGTCACATTTTAATCTTAACCATCACATAATTGTAAAATGTCAGAATATACACATGGTCTGCTCACAGAAAATAGAATGTGAATCTTAAATTTACTGCAATATGGTTGCCTTCCCAATGCTTATATGTACCGTATTTTCCGCACTATAAGGTGCACCTAAAAACGTTACATTTTCCGAAAAGCCGACTGTGTGCCCGAATATCCGATGCGCCTTATATATGCTTTTCCAGTCTCTTTATATTTCCCATTGCGTTGTTTCCTTTGGTGTTCCTATGCCATCTTGTGGTGATTATTAGCAGGAACCAATTGTAACGGAAAAGGGTTCTGCCCGACACGAATTGACATGTGCATTCGCCAACATACACTCAAACAGGACAACTACTCTGTGAGCTCTGCACAGCCATTATGAAACAAAAATAATACCAAAAATATAGTTAACTTCTGACTAAATGAAGGAAGAAGGAGACAAGCAAGGAAATTTAGCCCCTTGTTGATGTGCGCCCACAATGTTTGTGTGCCTTTTTGTTGAATCGTTTGTCTTCATAACTTTTTTTCTTTCATTTATTGTTTTGTAATGCCATTTGTATTTATGTGGTTCATGTCCGCCGTGTTTGTGACCAGTTTCATGGCTTTGTTACAGCCGCAGCGGTTGTGAAGGCTCTGTATAAATAAAGCTGGATTGTATTGTATTTTATTCTATTCGATTCCCTTTAGCGTAGCTCCATCTAGTATATCTAGCATAGCACAACAACAGCCACTACTGTCGCCTATCATGCAGTGTGCCCTATATGTGAAAATAGTTTTAAAATAGGCCATTTATTGACGATGCAATTTATAATCCGAAGCGCCTTATAGTGCAGAAAATACGGTAGTTCCTTACTTTTGTGGCACATTGTCCATGACTATTATTGTTATACCATAATTGACTTGACTTTTCTTTCTGCTATTTGTTGTATGCCGTTACTTGTATTGACTTTATTTTCTACTTGACAATAACCCAAAAATCGGGCATCTCAGTCTCGTTATCGTTGATTTTTGTTGATTGTTTGAGCAATATCAAGGCTATAATTTTGAACTAGCTCTTGGAAGAAACACAAGAAGCTTGTTGAAACAATATTGATTAGAAAGGTGGATGGGATTCAATAATATTTGCTTTTCCCACTCCTTTTCAGGCATTATTAGAATTTTTCCTTTTTTCTTTTGCATGTGAAACAGTTCCTCAGTCCTATTTGGAATTTTTTTTTTGTTTAATGGATTATTTGTTTGCATTTTCTAAAATGCGAGGGATAGGCTTTCACAAGGGTGAGGTGCGCGGGCAGTGACGTATGTATTATTTTTTGGCTTATTGTTAATTCATTAGAGACCTATAGAGCGATATTGCACTGAGCGACCAGGGGCAGGCACTGTAAGTGTGTTGCAAATGAAAATAAGCTCCCCAGGCAATCGCAGGGCACGGCCAATCACATTCACACCGACAGGCAATTTAGAGTCTTCACTTGACCTTAACATCCGTTTTTGGGGGGGAGTGTGGGAGGAAGCCAGATTACCTGCACAGGGAGAACATGTCACCTCCGCATAGAAGGGTCTGATTCAAACCAAGAATCTCTCAGCTGCGGTCGCTACCTTTACTGAGCTGACCCGATCTCTAAACCTAACTATGAAAAATAACCCAAACAGCTCCAACACATTAGTTTTCAAGGTGATCTTCTATTAAACATGATTTCTTTAGAAATGTCAACCTGAGACTAGAATGTAGCGCTTGGAGAACAGATGATGGTCAGACCACTCATTTGTTTTTGTGTGTCATTGTAGCACAGTCTCACCAGCACTGCTGAGTTGGTCCTGGAGCGTCTTGCCAGGAGAGTGGCAGCTTTGACTGTTGACACGGAGCCAAAGGCAACTGAAGGTCGAAATACTCATGAAAAGGATATTCCTGAGGAGGACTTTGCACTGAAACCATCTTCAAATTAATAAACGGTGTTTTGATGGTATACCAACACAATTTTACAAACGCTGGAGCAACATTTAAGCTTTTATAGTCACGTTTGCAATACATGCAATTAAGACGTTTAATGTGCGTGTGGTTTGGTCGGCAAACAGAAAAACAGATTTTTGTTGAAAAAGCCAAATCGGTCAGAGACAATCCATTCTTCTGGCTGTCATAATTATGAAACACATTCAGTGCCATGTGTCCTTTGTACATAAGAGTTGGGAATTAAATAGCTGTTTCCAACTCCTGAATTTACAAAGGTAAATAAATGGACAGTTATCTTTTTTATTGACACTGTTGATGTATGTATATCCCTCCATCCATCCATTTGTTATCTGATCCGCTTATCCTCACGAGAGTCACGGGCTATGCTGCAGCCTATCCCAGCTGTCTTTGGGCAGTAGGCGTGGTACACCCTGAACTGGTTGCCAGTGCACACATCGACAAACAACCACTTGCGCTCACAATCACACCCGAGGGACAATTTGAAGTGCCCAATCAACCTACCATGCATGTTTTTGTAATGTGGGAGGAAACCGGAGTACCCCGAGAAATCACCACTCAGGCGCGAGGAGAACATGCAAACTCCACACTGGAAGGCCGGAGCCGGAATCGAACCCTGCACCTCTGCACTGTGAGGCAGACGTGCTGCCCAAGATTTTATGTTTGTAATGCACGTGTGTGTGTGTGTGTGTGTGTGTGTGTGTATGCATTCTCATTTGCATTTTTATGTGTTGTGTTTCTCGTTTTACAAATGGCGTTAGGTATATATATATATATATATATATATATATAAAATACAGAAATAGAGTAGATACAGAAAATACGGAATACAGTATAAAAATAGGCACCCAATATCTAAAAAAATACACACAAAAAAACCCTCACATTTTTGTAAAGGATTTTATTTAATCTTCATGGGACGAGTTTTGAAGCCTCGCTATCAGTTGGGCAGCTTGTACACTCGTGTACATTTACAGTACTGTCCCCTCAAAATGACAACATGGCCAAATGTAAACAAACTGCTGGCAATGAAAGCAAGTATCGTAAATAAGTATTTTCAGGGGTAAAAGTGTTTTGCTCACGTGCGTTCACTCACAGATTCAGGTTGTGCGATTACATTTATCCACACCAAACTCTCTCGGTCATAGACTTTGTTTTGTGCAACGATGCACTGATTTCACACCGATTCAGTAAATTTGTTAATAACTTGAGACAACATCATCACTATTTTAGTATTCCTGAATTTTTGCGACATTTTGGTTTTGTGCAGTTCTGACATAATTTTATATGGTAAAAAAAAGTCTCAGGAGAGTTGAAAACTGGATAAAATTGTGTCAGTGCATGTGATGTGTGTGGCCGGCGAAAGAACTTGAAGCAACAACGTGCAAGCTGTATATTTGTTCAAGTGGATGTAAAAGTGTTGAGATCTACATTTACTTCTCCGATGAAATCACATTTGTCTGCATTTCTACCACGATGTTTTATAGTCTTTTAATGGTATTCTATTGATAATGTTTTTGTTGTTAGAACAAGACACATTTTATTTGGAAAACGGTGATAATTTTCGTAATTGTCAGGGCCTAACACGGTACCGTTTGCATTTTTTGCCAGTGATAATTGGAGTGTAATCACGAAACTCTCCACTAGGTGGTGTCACCAAGCTCTCGTTCTGGTTACATCAACTGGACATAACTTTTACTTACGAGTTATTGGAGTTAGTAGCCATTGCTCTGTTTTTTTTTATTTGCCTTGACTTACGAGTTATTGGAGTCACGAGCCTTTGTTCTGCTTTTTTTTTTTTGCTTTGCAGCGCAAGAAAAAAATGACACGTATGAGCGTAGAATTCTACTACCATACGTTTTATTAAAAAAACGTAAAAGGGGCAGTAGTTCACATTTAATGGCACGTGATATGTTTCGATAAATTAAGGCAAGGTTATCTTTCCTTTTATGCTTCATAACAGTTGTCTCGGAAATCAGGATATTTTGATTATGCCAGAAGAAAATTGGTTTTAAATCGTAACTTCGTAATATCACACAGGGCATCACACTATTTTTGAATAAATTTGGTCTTTTATTTTATAGTGTCGTGCAGTTCTTTCGTGTCATCAGCCTACATCCCATAAAAACAGTAAAAAGTGACAATGGGAAAGGCCAAATTATTCGACAGAAATATGACAAAATTAGGTACTGTACTTACTACTACAACAGATTCTAACTTTAACAAAACACCGACATATTAGGTACCTGCCTAGTTGGGAAAAAAACACGAAACAAAAATAAGACATGTAAGGTGTTGGGATACACAATGAACAATCGTGTCAGTGGCACTGTGGTCCTTCCCTAAACTCCCAACGACATTTCCCTCTGATACGCTCTCCAACAACAATAACAACATCGCTTGTAACTCTCGAGGAACAGCGACAGAGAAAGATGGCGTTACATAAGGGTACACATCGGTAAATTGTCGCCAATTTTATTATTTGTACTTTTTTTCGGGTGGGGCGGGGCGCGGGTCTGTTTTGCGCGTCAACAATAAGGACCGCACTCCGGAGAGCGCCTTTCACTCAATGGGATTTATATTTAGCTCGGTAAGGGACGGCGGTAAGTGGAGACTGCGAGTCCCGTTCTAAACATTCAATCCCCCAAAACTTGTTCATTTGGCGGTGCGCGTCATCCGGCTATGTGCTGCTGGGAGTGAGGGCGCTGTGTGAGTGTGTGTGTGTGCGTGTGTGTGGATAAGAGACTAGCACAAATTTATCTCCAGCTCCGGGAGAGGGAAAGATGATGGCCGGTGGTGGCGAAGCAGCAATGGACCACAACGGGATATACTCAACCGCTAACCTCCACAATCTGCCACACAACCTGCAGCAGAGCCACATGGAGGCGGACAACTCGGACTCCCGTAAGCGACCGCTGGAAACTCCGGCGGAGGAGGCCGGCTGTACCAAGCGCACCAACACTGGAGGTAAGGGGGACCCATTAACAAGCAGCTTCTTCCATCGCGATTCTTCTATCATACCCATATCGGCGCCAACGCATTTGCCGTCACTTGTGGAACACGAATTTGCTACAGTCTTTCGTGTGGGCCGCCGCTTAGAAAACAACCCCGCGTGGCTTAAATTCAGATTCGAGCTGCGTGTTCAGACCCCCGATGTGCTGCACCTGTGCACTTGGCGCTTTTGGGGAGGTTGGTGGGGGTGCGGGGGGTTGCACTTTTGTGAGTGTATGAGCCTGTGTGTGTCTTGCGGTTGTTACTGCAACACGCCTTGACACAGTGGCCTCTTTATGGCAGGTCGTTTTTGCATATCAATCCAGCCCCCCTCCCCTTCTTGTACCACTCGTATGGGTCCATTCAGCGCAGACGTGGCGTGTTCTATCATGCAAAGTCTTAACAAAAAATTAAAAAAGCAAAGGAGAAAATTTGAAGTATTCTTCCCACCGGTAACAATCTGTTGTGGTTTGTATTGCTAGATGAAGAATTCCTGAAGCTCTTGTGCTGAGAAAAAAAAAGATCAATCTTTCCTTATCCACCTTGACAAATATGAATTATGTTAAGTGTGAATTCAAAACTGTAGAACGGGGTTCACAACGCAGTTTCTGGTGGGACCTGGAGATATTTGAGACATTTGGCTGGAAATTCACTGTGAAGTCCATTTTCAGTTAAATACAAAGAGTCTCGCTGTACGTGCTGCATCGAATAATAACAAACTTAGCAGAAACATTGCTCACGGAGAGTATTGTCAGTGCCGAAGTGAATATGTGTGACGTCGATAGAGAATAGATTTCACTATAATAAAAAAATGAATCACATTACTTGTCGCTTTTCTAAAACTATCATAACGGGATGGGAGATTCGCTCTTTAAAATGTTCTGAACTCCTGTTTCGATGCCTGTTTCTGCAAACTGGAGGTCTTAACCGGTGTAGCTCAGCTTTCCACAGGTTATGTCATTGCAGCCAAGTAGTGCACTCAATTTTGCTTCAATGCATCATTATCAACAATTGACAGAATTCTTTACCAAGTGATTATTATTTTGCCCATCTTGAAAAATAGCCACAAAGAATTCAGACCTGCCACCTCACTGCGAACCCCCGAATTACTGCAGCGACCAAAATGGTTCTTATTCAATCTTCCTTCATTGGAAATAGAAAAAAATGAATATGAGATTGCATATGTACAAGAAGAAAAACATACTGATGTTGTGTGCCATAAGTGCAGTTCAGATGGTTTTGATCTGCAGCTCAATGGAGACCCCCCGCTCCCCTGGTACTTTTCAATAGCATGTTACGTAAACTTCATTTGCGACCCTAGAACTGAGTCCATTTTGTACCCTACTTTATCCCTTTCATGCACCCTGTAACCTGATAACATGATAAGCTGTCCACTGTAGTAACCGCTGTCCTCGAAAGGGTTGAACACCATGAGTGCTTTTTTTTCATCTCTCTTCAAAAATGTCATCTTAGTGGACACTTATGTTACCAGTCATATTTCAATGGCTTCCGTCTCCATCCGTCCTGCATTTGCACCTCTGAGAGCAAAGGTGCGGAGAAGTCACGTGGTGTTCTCATTTTGGAAGTTCGGAGGTAGCACTTTTCTCCTTGTAGAATTTTTAGTGATGACAATCTGCAGGTCACACAATTCAATTGGATGTCTTGAAAATCACAATCTTATGACAGATGGCACTCATCGCTATGAGGCTGACTCTTTGCAGACATTTACCAAGTTAAATATGATTTGGTAATGCGTTATAGCCTTCAACGTGAAACGTTGCTTAGTTACCGTGTTAACAAAGATGCCTGCAAGTCAAAGAAATTGTGAGATTATGTGACAAAATTATCCCGGCTGTTCATGAAATGAAGAACATTTGGCTGCTTTACTTTGAACCAGTCATGACGGTACATGTACAACTCTTGTGGCACGTTTTTTGGGAGGATTTTTTTTGTGTTGTTTTTACTTCAACCGTGCCCCCCCCCCACCCAATATTTTAGTCATGATTACATTTATCACCCAATCATATTGTCAAATTTGCTTCAATTTTATGTTGTTAAATATATATTTTGGGGATCTTACTAAATATGTTTCCACTGCTTGAGTGGTTTCATCACTCCCTCCATCCCTTCATTTTCTTCTTAATGTCGTTGATGTTGACGTGCTAAGTGCACTGAAGTCAGCTATGGCAATGCTAAAAATGATGCACGATTTCATGCAATTACTCCAATGTTAATTTGTGTTATTGCGAGTGTGAGCGTGGATGATTGTTCGTCTATCTGTGTCCTGCGATTGGCCGG